TTGCAACTTTCTGCGCGAAGCGAGGTTCATTCCATATCGCCCTGTGCTTCGGACGCGAAACTAAATCGGAAATAGGTTTGGGTTAGGTTACATCTTCCGGAAGTGGAGCCCCCCCCCTAGGGGGGGGGCGGAACCTACTGTGTCCACGCATATACTTTACAACGCGAAGCGAGATTCACCCTTCAATTGTTGTATGGATTGCCCTTTTTCTGTATAATTACCTTTGAAAGTTATAAATCAATGTAAAATCGTATAATTCGGTACATCTTTTTCGTTAAATATCTCAAAAACTATACGAGACCGCCAAATAAAACAAATTGAATATTAATCAACAATCTCACCTTTACAACATATGTGAAGGTCAAGGTCATTAGCGAGATATTTGCTAATGTAAATAATTATCACAATTATTATACTTTTTACCATTTTCTCTTAAAAAATGACTTTCTCGTAGGAGTCGCCAAAATTCCTTTTAGGGTCTTTCATTTTAATCTGAAAGGAAGCTTTTCACAAAGTTTCATCGAAATCGGAGACGGGACCTTTTCGGAACTTTATCCGGAAAGAATTTGCAATTCAGGAGTAAAATCAAATCTGGTCAAGAAGATAGGAAAATAAGAGTGGTCAAGGAGATTGGTGTCTTCCTGTAAATTAATACCGTTTTTTTGTTGTTTTATATGTAACATTTAGGAAATGCATCTTTTGATATAGGAAGGTTCTTCGTCTAATATGCGGATGCTGTTCTAATCAAAATCATGCCCGGAGAGCCGATGGTCAGTAATTACTGAGTGGGAAGACACCGTTCTGTTGATATTTGAGCGATGCTCTTTAATTCGAGTAGACAATTGTCTGCTTGTTTGTCCCACATATGAAGCGTCACAATTCTGACAGCAGATTTTGTAGACCACGTTACAATGATTTCCGGAAGGAAGGGGGTCCTTATGTGTTTTTATATATTAGTAATAAGTAATAATTTCTCCGTGACACCTCTTATATAAGGAACTGTGAAATATGGGAGAGGGGAAGGAGGGGAGCAGGGAAGGGCGGGAGGGGAGGTATTCTTAGAAATCAAAGTCTTGATTCTACTGCGTATGGCATAGAAAATGAAGTCGAGGGGGTAATCATTGTTCACAAGGATATTGATTATTAAATTCAAATTTTTTTCGTGACATGTAGGGTGCGATAATCTGAAAACACGGTCAACTAGTCCATAGATGACACCCCTTTTGTGGCAAATGGGGTGTTGAGAAAAATAATTGAGAAACCTTCCTGAGAAAGTCGGTTTTCGATACCAATCACATAGAAACCTGCCATCGGTTAAATTAATAGAAAGTAAAAAATTTAATATTTGCTCTTTGCTCCATCATTGTGTTTTCGCGACAATGTCCACCAAAGTAGTTTCACTAAAACGTCAATAATTTTTGAACGCGTCGTCTAATTTCGTTAAAATTTTAACAGTAGCTCAAACATAAGACTATCGAAAAAAATGCCTAATACATGGCGCTTATAGTGTCAATAACAGAAATTCAGTCCGGTTATTTATCAAACGTACTGTGTATATACATTTTACGTATGAACTATTATGGGGTTATATGGATGTATAAAATTGAAATATTTGTATGTTTCAATACGATTTGAACCCAGCAATATCACTTTATAGCTATAATTGCTAACTATACTGTATTTTGTATAATATTAACTGTTTTATATGGATGGGTATAGATTGATTGATTAATTGATCTTTATTAGCTTTCTCAGCTGTTTGTAATACAGATCAAGTTTACATTAATTACAACAGTGGGATTTACTTGCACATTTCGACCCGATTCCGTGGCTCACGCCTCTTGTCCCCCACTCACCCCTTGCGTTAGCAACGAGTCGTCAGATACGCGTAACTAAGGAGCGCGGCGCTTCGTCTCAGGATCGTCCATATGAAAGAATGCCCAAATAATAATAATAAGACAATATTTTTCTAAATGCACCGCGAAAATTTTCAAAATTAAAAGTTTTTCTTCAATATTTTATATTTCATTGATATAAAATATTGAAGAAAAACATATAATTTTCCCAAATTTAAAACAAAATTTAATATTTGCTTCATTGTTGTGTTTTTGTGACAACGTCCACCAAAGTACTGTCATTAAAATGTCAACAACTTTTGAACGCGTCGTCTAATTTCGTTGAAATTTTAACAGTTGATAGCTCAAACATAAGACTATCGAAAAAAATGCCTAATACATGGCGCTTATAGTGTCAATAACAGAAATTCAGTCCGGTTATTTATCAAACGTACTGTGTATATACATTTTACGTATGAACTATTATGGGGTTATATGGATGTATAAAATTGAAATATTTGTATGTTTCAATACGATTTGAACCCAGCAATATCACTTTATAGCTATAATTGCTAACTATACTGTATTTTGTATAATATTAACTGTTTTATATGGATGGGTATTTTTGAAGATTTTAAAAGTATATACACAAGGGAAGACTTAATGCCTTAACATATGAATTTATGTTTTTTGGGGATATATTCGAGGCGTGTGCATGTTTATGCATCATGACTGTTTGCTATTCGAGACGCGTATTCGGGTGTCAAACAGCTGGCTCAAAATAGCTGGAGGCTAACTGACATTTTATAATTTGATATATCAACATTTGATAAATGTCAAAGCATCAAACAGATTTAAAAAATGAGCTAATAGATCACTTTTAATTAATTTATAGAGCATATTATATTTATATGTATTTATTAATTTTTTATTATGTACCTTATTTATTATTTAACAAGTTCAATAATTATGAAGCAATACCTAACTTATAATTTAGTAATTTTATAACTTTATGATTTTAATATAACTAAAATTTTTAATAATTTCCACAGTTTGCGATATAATTAATAATTATTAATTAAATTTAATTATATCTGCTTAAAAATGCGAACCGTGCAAATTGTTTTAAAATTATATAGTTATATGTGGGTTGATTCGTGAAGTGGAAGCGCGCTCGCTTCCTTCGCTCCACAATTCGAAAAAGGGAAGTATTCGCTGGACGGGATGTCTTCAATAGCCACGCAGTCGTACTATGTACAAGAATATATTTTCGTTATTATTCACAGGTCGCAAAGTATATATACAGGTGTTAATTTTTGTTTGTTTTCCTGGGTGACCCTGAAAAGGGCCGATAGGACGCCGGTGTTTGCGCCAACTGCCGTTTCTTACGCCACTGGATTGATGATTGCGTAGAGGTGTATCTCGGCGATCCCCACCTCGTCCTGAGCGCCGGAGGAGTCCCGGGAGGAGTGTAGCTCCTCTCGGGCAGCGGCGGTTCGTCCGTCTGTGTTGCAGACGCGCGGGTGGTTTCCTCCCAGTCTGAGAGATCCGATTGTGTGGACCGCTCACAGGTGGAGGTGTTGGTCACCTGTGTGGCTTTCTCAGAGGTGGATGTGAGCGACTGCGTTCCCCTGTGTACCCTACAGACAGGGTTGGTCTGCGTTTCACAGTGGTAGAGCTCGTTCGGTGCCGGCGATGGTGGCAGCGGTGATAGGGTAGCTCCAGCCGTACGTAGGCGATGTGTAGCGCCTAACCCTCACGTCCCACGTCGACAGGCAGTCCCTGCTCGGACGAGTACACCGGCGACAGCTCCAAAGGCTGGAGCTTCCACTCCCGGAAAGACCAGTTGATATGCCGGGGAGTGGAGGTAGTGGTCGGTGGCTCCGCTGGAGATCCGTTCCGCAATATCGGCCCAGGTGACGCGGGCGGCGGCAAGGGACGTGGACGTTCCTCGTGTTGTCTCTCCTTGTGTCTAGGCAAGGTGCGGAGGGTGTATTCGGACAGACCCGAGTTCTGTCCGCCGTCGCTAAGCTCCGTGCACTAAACGAGAGAAGTCCTCTCTAGCAGCACAGAGCCGCGACTGGTGATATCGATCGGTTCACCTCCTTATATACTACCACTCGTTGGATCTCACTTCCTGGCGCTGTCTCTCGGCTGCCGCCGCATCGCGGTAAGCTCTCGTAGTTTATCAAACTTGCACGTGTTCAGCGCGTGAGTCTGGGCGCGCGCGCTTGCCACCATTTCGTAGGGGCGCGTTGACTCTTCACGCGCCCGTGCTTTTGTGGTGGTTTACCGCCACATATATTAAAATCATAAAGTTATAAAATTGCAAAATTATAAGTTAGATATCGCTTCATAATTATTAGTAATTGCTATTATTTAGATCCAGATAATTTTGCAGTAATTCAGAAGTCACATGAAGCAAATAAGAGAACGATAAATAATGGATAAAGAATGAAAAGGGATAATAGAGAATACTACATTATTAATCATCAAGTAAAGTATAACGCATTCAAATGAATAATTTCTTATTATCCTTACGAAATATTTTTAGATTGATTTCTTTTTTTTATTACAATTATGTGAAATATATGTATAACTTTAATGGGGGAAGCTCCGTTTGCCTACATTTCCGATTGCCAACGACTTCGTTTGCCCATAATATTGTGCCGACAGCTTCGTTTGCCGACATTCCCGATTGCCTACAGAGCGATTGCCTACAAACATTATTGCGCACATGTAATAATTAAAAATACGAACGTACGTTTGCGCATATGACTTTATTATGCACAAACACATTGCACACATGCAGATTGCACACACGACTTTGTTACGCACATACATATTGCACACATGATTTATTGCAAACGTTATATTGCAAACATACACATTACATACATGACCACATTGCATACATATGCATTGTACATATAATTAAAATCTGTGACTAAAAGTGCAGACTCTGATATCAAATTGCGTACGGAACCCTATAATAGAATCCTTGATTAATCTGATCAATAAATATTTCGCGCATCCGAAGCACCGGGCGATGTAGGATAGATCTCACTTCGCGCAGAAAGTTGCAAACCCATGTGAAACTGTATAATTATCACGGAAAAAAAAATTTCGCTGTCATAGCTAAACATGGTTTGCTAGAACTGCGTTTGCTGTCGTGACTATAAATTTCTAAACTACAGCGAAGAGGTTTACTGTTGTACCTAATACATAAGTAAAATAGCAAAATATGCATGTCTGTTAGGATCATATCGTACAGCACATAAAAGTAGTTATCGGAACTAACCGATATGTCAGAGGTATAACATCGTTTCGTTAAGCCGCGCACAATTGGCGCGAGCAGAACTGCGCATGCGCAGCAGTGAGTGAGTTAGTAAGTGAGTGAGTGAAATAGAGGAAAGACAAAAGCTGATGCAATGACGATGTACTTGCCTCGCATGAAACGACGTGTTAGTCTATTAGTGCAAAGCTTGTGTCGCGTACTTTCAATCCACAGTTTTGATATGGCTACGAGTGTGGCAATACACCTGCTGACTGCTTGGGGATTTAGCGAGGAAGTAATAGGACATTTTATAGGTATGTAAAATTATATTATATATGTATCTAAGATTATGTAAATCAATAGCAGCGAGCCACATGGATCTATGTATCGCGGAAAATTATATTGAAATGTTATTTTTCCGGCAACGAATAGAGAACTAGACAGATATAGGATAATATTCAGTGATGCCAGAATTGAGACACAAGCAGTAAATCGCATGACTTCAGGAGGTATCGTGCATGTACCTGGCTTGCACATATATACCATAACCCTTTAAAGTCATACGGTTTACTGCTCATGTTTCAATTCTGGCATCACTGAATATATGCAATATGCTTCTCATTTGTAGCTCAAGAAATAGAAGTCGATCAATTTAAATATTTAACAGAAGAAGATCTTAAAACTTTAATACCGAATATTGGACCCCGACGAAAATTTCAAAACAATGTAAAAGAACATTTAAATGAGGTATTCATTGTTCTTTTCATCATGGTTTATTATTCTGTCAGCTTTTTTTCAGGATTGTAACTGATCTGTCTTGGTATTAATATTTCAGATTGCACAACAATCCATAGAAAATGTTGATCCAAATAATCAACAGCCACAAGCCACACAAGATTTGGATTATACAAACATATCAATAAAAAGGCAAAAAAGAGATATAAAGCATGATGAAGACAACGAGTTAAATAAAAGCAATAATATAAGCAATATTACGGAAAACATCTTTCCGACTTCATTATCTGCATCTTCTACATCTGCAAGTACAGGATATGATGGTAAACATTTAAAGAATATTATTAATCTTTGTTCATTATAATTAATTTACACAAATTTAATAAATAATAAATATAATAAAATTAATGTAATCCATATTTATTCATTTGAAAACAAAAAACTAACTTTTGTTTTATTCTCATATTGGCTTTATTAATTTGCTGATAATTTATTCTTCTTTCAGTTATATTCTTAAAAAGTAATGCCACATCTGCAACAGAAATAAAGCAATATGCAGCTACTGATAATAAATATGTAAGATATGATTCGTTTTCCAAAATATTGTAATATGTAGTAAATATGATTAATATTAGATATTATATTAATTCTGTTTATTATTGCAGAATCTGAAATCTATATTGAAAAAATCTGAGGACGGTCAGTTGCTACTAAGTTTATATAAAAATGAAGGAAGATTGAATAATGATCAACGAAATAAATTGGCGAAAATAATAGTTAGTAATGAGCTGTCGCCTAATATAAGCAACATAATACGCAGCGAAAGGGCATCTTTTCTGAGTGATCATGTGGTATAATTATTTCCTACTGAAGATAAGGTAAGTTTATATTTCTTTTGCTTCTTTACTAAAATTTTTATCAATGATTTCTTCAATCCAGGATAAAAATAAAAATTGCAAAGAAATACAAGTTTCTTATTGGTCTTGTTTTTATAAATTATTATATAGACGTATATTATGATCGGTTAAAATTATATCATTTGCAATCATTTTAATTATTTCATGTTACAGAGTGTTTGGTATATTAAGAATAAGAAAGGCGAATCACAAGGTAGAGGAAAAATTCTGACAAAATACTATTGTACACGACGAAAACTTATTAAAGCTGGTTTGTGCAAGTAGAGAAAAGTATTTCACATAGTTTTTATTTGTTTTTGTAGACGAAGAAAGTGATGATAATGTCATGAATTACGAAGAATATATATTATGGCTAAAAAATAATTGTAAACCATGGCAGATAGTGACTGAATACTGGTCTTTGACTTCAAAGAAACGATTAAAACATCTTCAAACTAATAATAATCAGTCTTGCCACGAATACATAATTCAGTTTCCAGCCCTTTCTGATCCTTTAGGCTACGTTCTGGTGAGTTTGATATATGATTTTATTTCTTCAATAATAAGTATTTAAATTTGCTAAAAACGTTATAAACTTATATATCCCATCTGTTACCACAAATGTTTCTTTTTTCAATGTTTTTTTTATAACTTTGAATATTATAGTGTGGATATTATATTTATTAATATCAATTAATGCTATATACAGGGTGTCCTAGACCACCCATACACCCCTTTTCTTTCAAAAACTAAGCATTTTAGAGAAAAACGTTTTGAACAAAAATTGTATGGTTTTGAGGGGAACATAAGATGGTGTCATTGGTTTGACCTTGGTTGGCATCGTTAAGGTCAAATCAAGGACACCTTTAATTTCTTAAATAGAATCTCCTATTTTTTATTGCATATTCTTATAGCTTATGTCGAGAGCTTTCCAAAACACTATAATAAAGTATTTTTTCATTAAGTACTTTTTGAGTTATTTTATATTTTAATCTGACATATTTTGATATAAAAAATAAAATATCTCATAAAATATCTAGTTTTCGATAATCTTACCGTAATACTTTTATGTACAGGATAATGAGACAAATAAATTGGTATAAAGAAAATAATTGATTTTAAGAAAAAGTATGTACTTATTTACAATGTATTTTTCTTAACAATTATTTGTTTATTTTTTTACAGCTATAAGAATATGCAATAAAAAATATAGGATTCCATTTAAGAAATTAAAGGTGTCCTTGACTTGATCTTAATGATGCCATCCAATGTCAAACCAATGACACCATCTTATGTTTCCCTCAAAACCATACAATTTTTGTTCAAAACGTTTTTTTCTAAAATGCTTAGTTCTTTAAAGAAAAGGGATGTACGGGTGGTCTAGCACACCCTGTATATATATACTATATATATTTAGTATTTTGGTACAATAATGTCTTTGTCTATAATTTTTAGCTAGAGAAAGATTTTGAAACATTATATCCAGGTCGTAATTTAAAATTGTATAGTGCTTGGCAAAAAATATCAAGTTTTGTGACCAATAAGGTGACATCTAAACTGAAGAATCATTTTGATAATGTCTTTACACCAGGTCAGATATTTTATAGTCTCCTTTCACAATGATGCGGCTTTACTTCTTATATAGTCTTTATATAAATATTTATATTTCGATAGATGGTGTGAAAATTGTCACTTTATTACTGATTTGTTCCCTGTGAACACGATAAGAAACGGCAAACTTTGTTCAAAACGTTATTTTCTAAAATGCTTAGTTTTTGAAAAAAAGGGATGTACGGGTGGTCTAGCACACCCTGTATATATATCCTATATATATTTAGTATTTTGGTACAATAATGTCTTTGTCTATAATTTTTAGCTAGAGAAAGATTTTGAAACATTATATCCAGGTCGTAATTTAAAATTGTATAGTGCTTGGCAAAAAATATCAAGTTTTGTGACCAATAAGGTGACATCTAAACTGAAGAATCATTTTGATAATGTCTTTACACCAGGTCAGATATTTTATAGTCTCCTTTCACAATGATGCGGCTTTACTTCTTATATAGTCTTTATATAAATATTTATATTTCGA